TATGTATGTATTATGAACTATGTGCAATCATCTCTGAATTCGGGTTTGCCCGTACTGTGGGTTGGGATTCCTTCTCGATCCTTCCCTTCCACCTCCCCCCCCCCCCCCCCCCCCCCCCCCCCCCCCCCCCCTCTCCCCCTCTCTCTCTCTCTCTCTCCCTCTCTCCCCCCTCTCTCCCCCCTCTCTCTCTCTCTTTCTCTACACTATCTACTCTATCTCTTTCTTTCCTCTTTGTTTGTCTCTCTTTTATTTTCTCTCTTATATCTTCCTCTTCCACTCTCTCTATCTTCGTCTCTCGTTATTTCTCACTGTCTCTGTCTCTATGTACCCCCTCTCTCTCTCTCTCTCTCTCTCTCTCTCTCTCTATGTTTCTCCGGCTAGGATGAGTTTCTGGAGTATGGGGGTGCAAGGTATTGGGGTATTGTGTACTAAAGCTATGTTGAAAATCTTGGGGCCTTTTTACTATGTATATTTGTGCATTGTGTCAATGTCATGTTATGTTTTTCCAATTTCTAACCGATTTTGAATGTACTTATTTCGTATTTCAATGTCATGCTTTTGATGTCTTTTTATACATGATTTTAATGTAAACGCAATATGTAAAATCCCACAATAAATTTCCATGTTATTATTGGACAATATAAAATTGAATTGAATTGGAATTGAATTCACGGCCTTAGTGAATATGCGAAGAAAAAAAAAGCCATGTTGTATTGCTATTGGTTCATCTGAATGAGGCTTCTGGGCAGCGTCTCACGAAACCGTCGTAAGTACAAGTTCAGCGACATCCCAATTGAAGTGCGTGTATTAAGTTTAACACGCGTTTCAATGTGATGTCGGTGAACTTGTACTTATGACGTTTTCATGAAACGCTGCTCAGGTATCGCTGTCTTCGGATGGATTACACCCAAACGGAGAGGGCGGAATATACGTGGGAAGCCCTACTCTTGATTGATTGATTTTTTCTTTCTTTTGTGCCGTTATTATCGGAAGAAAAGTCATACGTAAAAGTCCCACCTTCATGAACTGATGGTCGCACGCCAGTTATTAGATTCATCATGATTAGATCGTTTCTCGTTCACCCGTAAAACAGAGGTGACATTGTAATTTTTAAATAAAATATGATATAAAATCAAATATATAAATTTAGAAATTGGAAATTGTGCTAAATGAGGGATGATTGGATGTGCAGATCAGTTCTATGAACATGAAAAGTAGGCATTGGTCCCAAAGGGATTGTAATGAAGAGTTTATTATTAGCAGCACAAGAACCATCATAACCATTGTGAGCATTGAAAATAGTTTTTTGGATCGTCTGAGTTACAGACCTTATAAAGGGAAAAGGAGATGGAAAACACCCCCTCCGTATTTTTCAGCAGGTTATAGGAATTTGTATGAACTAGTCAAGACACAAGTCTGAATGCCGTCATTGTTAACACCTCTTTTTCTTTTTTCATTTTTCATTTCTCACTCTTAACACTAGGTAGAGCACTCAAAAAAATAATACACATAAGACATCTCTTATTTTGGTGTCATATAAAGATATCAATGATATATTTATTTTGCTGCAAAAATTTTCAAATTCTGTCAAGGCATTCCTGAGATATGGTCTTTTGAAGATATCGTAAAATCATTCAAAAACCTGCCCGCAAATAGCAAATTATGGCAAAAATGGATTTTTTACATGTTTAAGGGTGTTTTTGACATAATAGAGTATTACATGGTCTTTAAAAATGATATGTATTGTGAAACCAAAGTGAAATAAGCATGAAAAATAAAATTCAAGAACCAGACTTGTTGCATTTTGGTGCACCGGATTGACAAAAACCACATTTTGTTCAATTTCACCAATCCGCAGGTTTGGAAATGTTCAAAAAACGACTAAGTCCAGCTAATTAATATGCGTAAATGCAATATCTCAAGTTTTAAATGAGTCTGTTTGATACAACTTTGTGGCAAGCTTCAACTAATGAATCCCTATCCATTTATATAATAAGATTTATGAAAACTAATTAATTATGCAAATGAGCTGATAATTAGCTAATTACATATTCGCAACACCGTTATGCAAATTAGACAATGTTTATATATTTTTTTTCCTTCTCACCTAACTTCCTGATCTATATAAAACAACTGTAGAAAGTTTGAGCTTTGTAGATGCTTGCATTTGCTGAATAAAATGATGAGCTGAACTTTCGCAGCAATTTCCAGTAATGTTTCACTCGATGGATTAAAAATCGGGCATGTGGTGGCAAGAAACTATGGATGTTAAACTACTGAAAACCAGTTTAGGATTTGAAAATCGGGCAATATTTACGGATTTATGAGCATTTTCTGAAAATTCATTCAACTCAATGTAACTTCGTGTAGAAACAAAATTCCGATGTACCTGTTGCTGGGGTAGCCAGGGAAAGGTCACAGGTACCATATATGGTAAGGTCATTGAAATCCAGTGAATGAAACATTGGTGGCAAGTCCATTTTTTTACAGGGGAGTTTTTTTCCAATCTGCCGGGATATTTAGTGCAGTATTGTCCGTGGTGATTGCACACACCCACTGGCCCAATTGCGCGGTGTCAAAAACATCCCTTTTTAAAAAAATAAAATAAATACTTTCCCTAATACCCACACCCACAGGATTTTAAGTATAGTGGGTTAAAAGAATGACTGAAATATCTGTGAAAAAATTATGTTGTTACATGTTTTTGAATTTTTTAAATCATAAGTTGAAAAAATGGCTTCTCAGCATAGATTTGCTATTGCTGTGCACTGACGTGCACGGCAGAATGTATATGCATGCACTGTGATCAGCCTATTAACACACAGCCCTTTTTGAAAATTGAACTGTCTCGTGAACTTTTCTACTGGATACACCTCTTTTCAAAGAATAAAGGGGGCTAGCCTATTTTTTTCTGACAGCCCACAATTCAAAAACATCTTTCCTTAATACACATATAATAGGTACCAGTGGCGTACGCAGGATTTTTTCAAGGGGGGGGGGGGGGGGGGTTAAAATCGGGTCCAAAATTTCGCAACGACTCAGAAAATTTGAAAATCGCGCCGGCCAAAAAGTCGCTCAGTGGGGGGGGGGGGGGGGGGGGGGGGGGGGGGGGGGGGGGGGGGGGGGGGGGGGGGGGGGGGGGGACACTTTTTTTTTTTGGTTCTCAAAATTTGAAAATTTGACATTTTGCTTCGTTGGGGGGGGGGGGTAAGGTCACCTTTCTTAGGTCAGCCATGGGGGTAATTTTTTTTTCTTTTTTTTTTTGTTTTAAATAATTAAAAAAAAAAAAAAAATCCAAAGGGGGGGGGGGGTTTAGGGAATTTTTAGGGGGGTTTCACACATAAAAAAATACCAAAGGGGGGGGGGTATAACCCCCAAACCACCCCCCCCCCCTGCGTACGCGCCTGATAGGTACAATGTAGTAGAGTACTGTTTACATGATGGAATGATAATCAAAAAAAAAGTCAATATTAAACTTTTGGGAAACAGTGTTTATCTTAATATGACTCTAAAAATCTGTATTATGAAATGAGGTTTATAATTCTGTAACCGCAATTCGGATCAGTTATTGTACTGACCTTTCCACCATGATTACCTATTATTTGCGATGCTTTACATGTGAAGAAAAAAAACCTCGGCTTTTATTGTAAGATGCTTTTAT